GCCGCCCCTGAGCCTCTGGCCTGTACCCCAGTTCTGTATGCACAAATAAATAAATCTTTAAAAAAAAAAAATGTTATAATCTCAAGTGAAGGTCAAAATGTTTCCAGACTATTCTTAGAAAGAAGGTGATTGTGATCTCAGACCATTTCACATGCTAATGTCATCCCTCTGCCTGCTTGAAATGTATTAAATAAACCTCTGCTAAAGGCAGAGCAGGAAAACTTGCACCCAATTCCCATTCCTGTGTCTTCCTCACTCCCGCTCTCCCTTTTTTCCCTTTTCCCCCTTTTTCTAGCAATCTTCACTCACTGACACTGTTCCCACCTTGAGACCCTGCCTGTTCTGCCCCCCAATAATTGTGATCCAGGACAAAGTGTCTTGGACAGGAGTCAGATTGAGAAATGCAAATATGTAACACATGAAAGAGTAAGAGATGAAGACACTTTTACCTTCCAATTACCACTGCTCTCACTTTATTTCATGATTATCTCCCAGAAAATTATATCCAGGAGCCATAATTCATTAGGTAAGACCACATATATTTCAGGAAAAAACCTAGAAAAACAGCCTACCATATGGCCCCACAACTTGCTAACCTGTTGCTTCATCCACCAAACCTCTTACTACAGAACCTACAGCTGAGCTCTACCTTGTAACGTGTGATTCATTACACAACCCATGAGAACAGAGTTCTTTGCCCCCTCACCTAAATACCAGGTCCTGCCAAAATCCAAGGGCAGGGGCATGTAACTCTCCCCAGTTAGGTGGTTAATTTCCAGCTCCATCCAATGACTGATCCAGGACCCTTGGACCCTGACTCTTCACATACTTGGATCAGCACCAGCTTTTTACTAACAACAACAACGACAATTAAGGAAAGATCTTTGAAGTCACAGAACCTGGGTTTGAATTTGATTATATATCTCCCTTTCTTTCTCTAATTATGTTTCCTACATACATATGTGAGCTCATGTTTGGTGATAGCTAATGCTTATTGAGTTCTATATGGTCTAGGCACTGAGCAAAAATTTTATGTTTTTTTCTCACAATAATTTTCTAAAACATATTTTTTACAAATTCTCATATTCTGTGTAAGAAACTGAGCACAAAGATGTTCACTCTTGCCCAGGTGAGCCTGCTGGTACAATGTTGCACCAGGATTCAAGTCAAAGCAAACAGGATCCAGAGACCTTGCTATTGACCACTAATGCAGAGAGATGATAATTAGGTTGAGCCTCCAGTCTATACATGGTGACCCCCAAACATTTAAGGAGGAGTATCTCATGTTCAATGTAATTAATGCACTGTTTTCAAGTAGCAGGAGCATCCTTCAGATTATCAGCTCACCAGGTTGAGGGAAATGTGAGCCTCATTTTCCAGGGAAGCTTCTATAAGAAGGTGTCAGTAAACCATGTGACTATAAATCATTGAAAATGATGTGTATGGAGAATATCTAATGAAACAAGAGATCATTACAATAGACTGATCAAACAGAACACAGAACTGAATAAAGGTGAGTTCAGTGCTTACAACAACTGTGCTTGCTTGCAATGGTCAGCATTTGTTATTAGCAACATCTTTCCTTGTATTAGGTGTACACATACCCCAAACAAGCATCCTTGAAGGTTGTAATATCCATACACCTCCCTTGGGACACACAGTGCTTACTGTGCCCAGCAAATCCTTGCTGATTTCATCAATGAATGAATGGATCAATGAGAAGAAAACTTTTTACCTTATATCACCATCTTTAATGGGCCAGATTCAATTCTGAGTGCCATTTTTAAAGGAAATTAATAATTTTATTCAAAATGTTTCCTGGTTCTGTTTTGGACAACAGAAAAGCAGAGGGAAGCACCTGGAAGAGATCAGTTCTGTGAGTTAGACACCAAACCACTGGAATTTCTTGAATGTTGGGTTTGATAAAGTTGGGTTTCATTCATCAAAACTTGTTTCTTTTCTACAACCTACAAGGAAGGACTGTACTACCTAAGAAAAGTTGTTTAAAATGAAAATATTTGCCTGTATTTCCCATCTAAGAGAAGTCACAGAACTAGCATGATTATTGTGGCTGAGAACATTCTGTACCTCACCTTCCACTTGGAGTGAGAGAAGAGGTGAGATGGGAAGAGGGAGGTTTCCTACTCAGTGCCTTGCATGGTGCTGGTAAAAGTAGAGTTTCCCCAAATGTCTCTTATAATTTGTGTAGCATTGAGCTTTCCAAAACACAAGTACAACTAAAGCCATCAGGTTTATTAGCCTTCTTTCACAAACAAGAAAACTAAGACCCAGAGATTTGACTTTTTCAAGATACACCTCAGGAGAGTCTCAGTGCTTGGACAACCACCTCAAATTTCTAACTCTAGTTTCTAGCACCTGACTTCAACTCAAGGTGGTGCAACAAACACTTATCATTCAAGAGAAAGGAAGAATGCTCAGCTCCCAACCAAGAACACAGAGTATCTTCTCATTGACCTGTGTCTTTTTTTGTTTGTTTGTTTTTAAGATTTATTTATTTATGCTTACAGAACTGGGGTACAGGCCAGAGGTGTGGTGAGTGAGAGGATTCACCCGAGAAAGAGTAGGGAGTACAACAGGCAGATCTACTGAAGTGCACTCCTGAGGGGAGCAGTGGGCCGGTCAGGAGAGGTCTGCCACACCATGTGGGTCAGCTCCCTGGGCGGGTATTGAACTTGTGCTGCAGTGGCTTTGGAGAGCTTCACAATGTGGTGCTTTAACCCGCTGTGCCACTAGTGACAGTCCTATGTGTCTTTTTTTTTTTTTAACAATGCCTTATAGTTTCCAATGTTTAGGTATTTTATGTCCTTTTTTCAATTTACCCTAAGTGTTTTTTCTTTCTGATAAATAGGATTGTGTTCTTTATTTCCCACTCTTACAGATTACTATTTGTGAAGAACAATATAAGAGATTTTGTTTATTGACTTTGTATAGTGACTCCTATCACTTTACTCAACTGGCTTACTGTGTTTGATGAGTTTTGGGTGGTGTCTTTTAGGGCCTTTTCTGATATATTATCATGCTATCTGCAAAAGTGACAGTTCTATTTCTTTCTTTCCTAATTGGTTCCCTGCTATTTTTTTTATCTTGCCTACTATATGACCACATTGTGAAGCTTTGAATGAAAGGGAATGAAAGGGAATGAAAGGGAATTAGCAAAACTCTGAAATGAAAGAATGAAAGGGAATTAGCAAAACTCTGCTGCTAAATCTTTTGAAGATTCCATAAATTTGGACTAAAACTGATGTTGTGTCTCTCAAAGTTATTAAAAGAAAGGGCTAGTGGAAAATAGCACAACTAAGATTGATGTGAAGTTATTCACATTCTCATGTATTTGAATGGAGAAGGAATCATACTATAGATACTAAAAAAAAATCTCTCCAATGAATATAAAGTGGTCCTTGGAAAGCTGTTACATTTGCATCTCTTCATTCATATTATTATTCAGCCAGATAATAGAAAGAAAATAATTTTCATTCTCACTCGATATATAGTTTAAAGTGTTTACTAATGGTAAACACAATTAGTATTATAATAAGACCTAGTTAAAGACATGGTTGATATCAGGATGTGAATAATCATATCTATTTGAATATATTATATAACCACAATAAATGCTACTGGATAAATATTACTATACCACATTAAATAAAATGTGGATTACTTAAAATCTGTGTTGATGTCTTTGTTTACTACTGTGTCAAGACCCTACATGCTTCCTGGTACATAGCAGGTGCTTACTGAATAACTGGTGAAAAACCTCGTCAGTGGAAAGTTAATATGTACATAGTCGTTATCACTGTCAGCTGACAAAGCTTCTCCCCTTCTGTTACAGGATGGATGATCCAGCACTGCTGACTATGCTCTGCCCTCTGCCCTCATCAGGAGCCTCCTTCCAATGAGGGCGGAGCAGCCCTTCACTGAGGGAGTACTTATGTGACTGTGATGGACAGGGGTGGTCAGGGACACACAGGGACAGCCAGCCCTCAGACGCTGCTGCACCATGAGCGTCTCTGTGCTGACTCCCATCAGGCCCCTGGCCAGCGTGTCTGGGCTCCTGCAAGTGGCCTGCCTGCTCAGCCTGGTCCTGCTGCTGATCAAGTTCGTCCAGCTCTTCCTGCACAGGCAGTGGCTGCTCAAAGCTGTCCAGCAGTTCCCGTCCCCACCCTCCCACTGGTTTTTTGGACACTCCAAGGAGGTAGGAAGAGAGGGGAGGTCAGGGAAAGCTGATTTCTTGGAGCACGGTCAAGGTCAGCAAGTCACTGGACAAATCCTTGCTGTGGGCCCTTCACTTGGCCTCCAGGGGAAGCCCAGCTCACCTCTCAGGTCTTGGCTTCTCATCACTGAATATGTGAGCCCTCTGCTCACGCTGGACCCTCCACCTTGATGGCCTCGTTCTTCCTCGGTCATCTGACAAAGCCCAGCTCAAACTGCCTCCTGCAAGTGCTCTCTCAGGACCCAGGGACAACTCCTGCCCCACGTGGTCTCCCAGAGCAGCACCTCCTGCCCAGCCCCTTTGTCTGTGAGGTCCCAGCTGTGATCTCTTCTGGAGACGCCACCTCTGGTTCAGCTGTTAACCCTCTAGTTTGATGACTGATGCCTCCTTGAGTGAAGGGCTGTGTCCTGTCCACTCGGAGTTAGGCCCCTTCTGCAAAGGCTGGGCTTCCTTCCTCACAGAGTAGCTCTGTCTATTGTCCTGTTCTTAATCTTCTTTCAACTAGACCGGAATCTCCACGCAGGTAAGTTCTTGTATAATACCCTGCCTCAGTGTCTGACTCAGTCCTGGCATGTGTGGATTCCTGAGGACTGGAGGCTGACTGAGGGAACCTATCCACTTTGGGCCAGTTGTCTCAGAGCTGTAGAGTCCTGGTGGCCTTGAGTTTCATGTCACAGTTGGAACAGAGAAGAGTTGACTAAATGGAATGTGTCTAGATCCAAATGTTTCGAAGAATTCCCAGGGGAGTCTTGAAAGTTGAAGGGAGGCATTTGCTAGTGACCAAGAAGGGCCATCCCCACTAGAGAAGGAGCTGTGCCCTGGTAAGCGGGGAGCAGGCCTAGCTGGGGAGGAGCAGCAGTGCCTGTGGGTGGAGCAGGGTCCTGGGGGTGTCAGGTCAGAAGGAACAAGGAGAAAGAAGGGAGGCATAAGCCCCCTGAGGAGGGGGTCTTTTAAGGGGACTTTAAAATCTTTAAGCAGTTTAAATGTCTACTGCAGACAGTGGGGAGCTCACAAAGGTTCCTTGGTAGTTGCAAGGGAAAATGAGGCAGAATACCCGAAGCTCCAAATCAGACCTCAACACCATTCTCATAGGTGCACATCTTGTCTTTGTCTTAAAGTATGTGCATATGAAGTATGTAAAATATACAGATAATTTAGTATTTAATTTACTGTCATTAATCATATATATCTCAAACTATTTTATATTTACTAATATTTACACAATGTTCAACAATATTGAAAATATGCTATATTAATGTGGGAAATAATCATGAGTATATAAACTTCTATTTCTTTATTAATAGATAGAATCCACTTAATACTCTAACAAAATTATATGATAAAACCGCTTCCCAACTGCAGTGCCATCCATAATATAGTGTACTGTTACCTAATAATTCCCATTATTTGTACACTGTGACATCAGTATTTGATTGAGTTTTAATACCAGTTCAGTGAAGGCCTGAGGTCAAGGCTTGTACAATTAGAAATGTGGAAAAGTTCAGCTTGATTGAATACTAATGAAATTGTAGTTTTTGTGATAACTGGAATCTGGAACTCTTTTCCTGTGAAGTTCCTGCTGCTCCCCACTGTCTGGGAACTAAAAGGTTTGACTTGTCTTTTTCTTCTTCTTCCTCTTCTTTGAATTGACAGTTCCAAAGTGTTGAGGAGCTACAACAAATATTGAAATGGATGGAGAAGTTCCCGTGTGCCTGTCCTCGCTGGTTCTGGGGGACAAAGATCCAGGTCATAGTCTACGACCCTGACTACATGAAAATGATTCTCGGGAGGCCAGGTGAGCGCAAACTGCAGGATCAGCTCTGCCCCTCTGGGGACATGGTCTGTGAGAATCCAGAAGAGACTGCAGATCACTGATTAACCCTGAGCCTCAAGAACCATTTTTGCTCAAAATGACCACTGAAATAGTGGTGTGGGGACACATTTCCTTTTTTTCTAGATGCCTAATGAATTTTTATGTAAATCACACCTGATACGAAGCTCATTTCCTGTCCAAACTGACTTGGGTTCAGCAATCTAGTTGCTGCCTGGCCTGAGTCAAGGGTCTGAATAACCCTAAATTGTAGAGAATCACAGTTTTCCACTCATTCTTTCGCACTGAAGACAGAAATGTTTCTTGCAAATCTGCCACCCCTGTGCCATGAGGCAGGTGCTGGGAACTAAATCTGGCTCCTGAACACAGGGACTCTCAGCAGAGAAAGTACCAGAGGGGAGGTAAAAGCAGGTGAGAGGGAGCTTGAGACAATACCAGCTGACAATCTTCAGGAAGGCTGAGCCCATGGTCTGCTCACGCTCCTCCAATCAACCTGTTCCGTATCTTCTAATTCGCTTTCTTACCATTCTTTCCATTCAGACCCCAAAGCCAAAGGAAACTACGAGTTAGCAGTTCCCTGGATTGGTGAGTAAATCTTACTGGACTGGGATCCATTGCCAGGGAGGGCAGCCAAGAACTAGGCTTGGCGCAGAGGACAGCCGGTGGCCAGCCCGTGTCAGCACCTGGGGTCTGGATCAGCCTCACTCCCAGTGCACCCTCGCCCCTTCCCACTGGCGCTGAGGCCTCCTGACAAGCCTCCGGTCTCTTCTCCGTCCTCTGCAGCCTCTAGGGCCCACACTCATCACCGGATTCTGTGACCCCCGCCCCCATCCCTGTATCTCACACTCTGCGTGACGTCATTTTGTCAAATCGCTTTCTGAAATGCCCGGGGCTTTCCTGTCTTCTGCATGAAGTTCTTCTGGTGAATGCCGTTTGCCCCAAACTATGCCCAGTCTTCTCTCTGTGCTGCCCAACTCCCCACCCACCAGCCGATACCCCATCCGCTTCTGGTGCAGGGTACGGTCTGCTCCTGCTGAACGGGCAGCCGTGGTTCCAGCACCGGAGGATGCTGACCCCAGCCTTCCACTACGACATCCTGAAGCCGTATGTGGGGCTCGTGGCCGACTCTGTGCGCGTGATGCTGGTAAGTCTGTGCCCTCTGCCCGCCCTGCGCACAGCCCAGCTGGGACCCCCGTGGGACACCAGCGTCCTGGCAACCCAGACTCGGCCGCCAGGGG